CCTCCCTCCCTGAGCGCCCTGTGCAGAGTCTTCATCCCTCTCCCCTCTCTCCCTGAGCGCCCTGTGCAGAGTCTTCATCCCTCCCTCCCTGAGCGCCCTGTGCAGAGTCTTCATCCCTCCCTCCCTGAGCGCCCTGTGCAGAGTCTTCATCCCTCTCCCCTCCCTCCCTGTGTCCCGCCGCAGCCCAAGTACATCGCCAGCCTCCTGCAGGCCGTGGAGGAGCGGAAGAAGGAGCAGGAGCGCCGGGAGGAGCGCAAGATCCAGAAGGAGAGGGAGGCGGAGGGGGAGCAGTTCAGCGATAAGGAGGCCTTCGTCACCTCCGCTTACCGCCAGAAGCTGCTGGAGAGACAGCAGGAGGAGGAGAAGGAGCGCAGGGAGGCCGCGCTGGAGGGTGAGCGGCGGTGTGCCTCCTGAGCCGTGTGCGTGCGCGCACATAGGAAACTGAACTGCACGCCAAAAATTACATTCCCCAAAACCGTATGATAAGAATAAAACAAACACGGTCCTCAATTGAAAAATGCTAGATTGACCACATGAGACTGGCTGCGAGAGGCCCAACTGGGCTGTGTGCATTATTACCGCTACTCGATCATCGATATCTGTGCTCTCGTGGTCTCGTACCTCACTGCTCATGCTGGCTCCACACTCAGTCTCCATGACTGGGCTCGTGGGATCGCTGTCCCGGTCTGTTGGATCTCCATGCTGCTATATTGACTAAATTAACCAAAAATTTCAGCTTTACAGTTTTACATGCACTCAGTTTAGTGCGCACAAGTTTATGTCACTGGGGGAAAAAAATTGCACAACTTGAAATTTATGTGCACACAGGCCTTAACCTTAGAGGGGGACATTGATGAGAGGAGAGCGCAGGACAGAGGGAAGCTGGAGAGGGAGACGGGGGGTGGAGAGCACAGGGAGGGAGGGCAGGGAAGCCAGAAACGGGGATGTGTGAGCCGAGAGCAGGAGCAGCACGCTGGGCTGGCGTCAGGTGCAGCTCCAGGGCGAGTTGTGAAAAGCAGCCCCTGTGTTGTGTGTGTTGGCAGCTGCCCTGGATGTGAAGAAGCAGAAGGACCTGAGCGGCTTCTACAGACACCTGCTGAACCAGACGGTGGGCGAGGAGAGCGTCCCGGACAGGAGCAGCCAGAGGTGGGCAGGACACAGCAGGGCACAGCGCTCAGCCACTCCGGGCTGATGTACAGGCCTCTGCCCTGCAACACCCACGGCTGACCCTCCCTGTCTGCGTGTCCTTCTGTCTCTGCAGGACGCCGCAGTGCGAGCCCCCCGTAGCGAAGGACCGGCAGGCCCAGCCGGCCGACGAGCGCGACCGGGACAGCGACTTCGACGTCCACAGCGAGGACGGCGACGGCGGTGGAGGGCGGGACGCTGGCAAAAGTTCCGAGGTCAGCAAGCCCGAGACCGCGCGCTCCAAGCGACAGTACCGGCAGCGGTCGCTGTCCTCGGAGAGCGAGGAGGAGAGGGAGGCGGAGAGCAAGAAGCACAGGGACAGGGAGAGAGGGAGACACCGGGAGAAGAGGCACCATGGCGACCGGGAGAGGGAGAGGGAGGACCGGCGCAGCGGCGGCAGCAGGAAGGAGGAAAAGGAAGACAGGAGAGACAGAGCGCGGCATGGAGAGGACGAGGAGAGCAGAGGGCGAGACGGGCGCGAGAGGAGAGCCCGGGAGGACCGGCACGGGAGAAAAGACAGGAGAGAGCCCAGCCCGCGGCAGAGAGCGGGCGCAGAGAAGGGCAGCCGCAGTCCCTCCCCGGCGAGGCCAACAGGGGGGGCCCCAGAGGAGCCCGGGGCCGAGCCCCAGCAGCCAGCAGCGGCCAGCGGGAGCAAGTTCACCAAGCGCAGCAGCGAGGAGACGGTGATGTCCGCGCGCGAGAGGTACCTGGCCCGGCAGATGGCGCGCTCGGGCGCCAAGGCCTACATCGAGAAGGAGGAGGACTGAGCGCGGCTCCCGCCGGGGGGAGCTGAAGGGTAAGACCAGCTCCCCCCCCTGTGCAGAGGGGGTTCAGTTGACAGACGTGATTCCTGCGTGGAAGGAGGTTGTGCTCTAGCCTGAAGATGGCGCAGCGCAGGAAGTGCTTGACACAGCAGGAAAGTGAGCTCTTCCTGACCTGGATTACAAACCAAACTCCAGGCTGTTCCAGTACGTCTAGGGTCAATGTTAGGATTAAAGACTGAGAAACAGCAGCTCTATTTTTATTAGTCACTAAAAAGCAGCATGGTATCAGAGGGCAGGTGGTTGCGTTGGGCATGGTTACTCCTGGGTTGTCCACGGTGACCTGGCTGTGCCTTGTGCTCAACAGTGCTGGTATTATCCACCACCCCCGCCCTCCCCTGCCTTCCTGCTGAGTCAGCCGGAAGATCCGTCGCCCCCTGCTGGACGGATGGCGGACGGCAGGTGAGGGCCGAGTCGCCCCACGACGCCCGCAGCTCACCCGTTCCTCGGGAGACGCAGACGTGCCGTCAGTGGAGGGAAGGTCCTGAGGAGCCGCTACGCGCACGAGTGGAAAGAGGGCTGTCATTTCTTGCTGGTTTCAATTTTTTTTTTGTGTGTGTGTGCAAAATTGTCTGCAAATTTGTTTGCATTTATTCATAAACGAGTTTATTTTCCTTGCTTCTGGCACACTCCTGCAGGCTCTTGGCTGTGCAGTAATGTCACAAGCAAGGCTGTTAAGTTACCAACAGGAGCAGGTAGTGGGGTGTCTGTAACCCTCTAACCCCCCCACGTGAGTGAGAGAAGGAGCAGTTGGCTGCAGTGCACCAGAAACATCCCCCATTTTGACCAGGACAAAAAAAAAGTCAGCTGTTGGACGAAGTGTTTCGGTGTGGTCAAGAGTTGTGGCTCTTGGGAGCCAGAGTGGTCTCTGTTTGGCAGAAAGCTCCATTTTTATAGCCATGTGGCTTTTTCTTTTGAAGTGTTCCTTTCGGAAAAGCACGCCTATACATCCATCAGGTGCATTGTTCCGAAATTGCATCTGTTGTTGCAATTATTCTTATTGAATTTTGCCGCACCTTCTCGATCACCAGGCTGCTGGCTCGGGAGTTAATGAGACAATCCATCCCTGCCGGGTGGCAGGCGACGTGCGGATGTTTGTATCGCTGTACATATTGTTACGCACTGAGAGATTAAAGCCCTGAGTGATAATGGATCAGCTGCTGTGTCTTTGTCTGCCGGGCCATGATAAATGGTGTTTATTAATGTATTCATATCTGCTGTCACTCAGCTCCTGGGGCTGGTGAGAGCAGCGCGTGGCTGGCGGCAGATTACTAGGACAGACCGCTGCCAGAATAATGAGGAATCTGAAATTGGTCCTTTATTGATCTGGGGGGGTGGGTGCACCTGCAGAGCTGTGGAGAGGGATGGAAGGCAGTTTTCCTTCACCCCTCTTCAGCACCGATTTGGGGGGTCTCTAAATCTGGCAGAGCCACGCCGCGTGATGCAGCAGTCTTCTCACCAGTACACCCCCCCCGGCCGAACTGCGCTGACAACATCAGAACAGCTGCTCCCGTCAGAATCTGTGAACGCTGCAGCAGCTGCCTGCGGGTGGACCCCAGAGCCCATGAGAGACTCCTCCCAGATCGCCTCTTGGCCAGAGGGTGGTCACTCCAGCCGATGAGTTCCGGTAACCGCCCTGCGTTAGTGAGGCCGAGCCGACAGAGTGAGTAAAAGGAAAGACTGGGGTTTGGCTAACATGCTCGGCGTTAACGGCTGGTCAATCCAGTACAACACTGGGGGAAGAGCATTAAAAAAATGGCTGGATTTGGAAACGCTGACCACAGCTGGGGCTGCTGGGGGAGTTGGGCAGCAAGCTGGAGATGGTGAAAAGGGCAGCGTGGAGCATTGAAGTAGGGTGCAGGTGCAAACGGGACCGAATGCCCTGGACAGGTGCAGAAAGCAGCACCATGCTGCTCTATATCATGAACTGCCTCAGTTATGCCCTGTGATGGTCACGTTGAGCTGATGGGTCAGGGTGTGTGCAGAACAACTTTCCCTGCTCCACAGAGCGCAGTTATCCGACTTGGCTGCCTTCAGGATCACCCGTTCTTCGTCTGTGTGGACGTGACTCCACGCTACGGGAGATGTTTGTGTACAATGGTCCTCACTTAAAGGGCACTGGCTTCCCAGCCTCCCATCAGACAATCCCAGTCACACTAGTCAACACTTAAATAACTTAAAACAAGTGCAAAGAAATATTCTTACGTCATAGATCCTTATTTATTAATTATATCTTTCTTTATACATGTATATTTTAGATACAATAAGATTTACATTAATCGGAATGACAGAATCGTACAGGAAAGTCTCTGGGTCGACACAAGGTAATGACAGTGGACAAGACGACAACTGGAGAACAGGTGTGCAGCACAGAGCGCGCACAGCACAGAGTATACAGGCGGGGACAGGCTGTAGACACTGACCCACTGATCACAGTAAAACACCATTTGTTAGGAAAACCACTGCTCTGTTTCTGCTGCACACAAACTAAACCACAAACAACACTCCCACTGCGTAGCGCCTTGATCCGTCTCACGTTTTACATTGCACCAATATAGTATTGTTTTGGCTCCACATGCATATGCTCATTGTCCTTCAAATACAGAGCACGGTCAGGAATTCTGGAGGTCCCCTAGGCGACAATAAAGCAGCAGCCCCTGAAGACTTGGGAGAAGTTGATAAATTGCTCCGATTAAGCCCCTAATAAGTAGGTTTAGGCTGTTAAAAGAAGAATCGGAATGAAGATCTCTAGATACACCAGCCCTCCAGGACTCTGGTTGGGCAACTTGGTAGAGAGCTGTGCCCTGAGTGAAGAACATGCCTATATACAGATGGGGGCGGTGAGAGTATCACCCTCTTTACAGCTCAACAGATGATCTTGAACAGCAACATGAGGAATGGGAGGATCTTTTGCAGTGAGCATAACCCTCAGACCGATGGCCATGCCCTTTGCACTGGTTCACGGAAAGGAATGGCTATAAAACCTTCAAGTTAGGGAGGCAGAATCCAATCCCAACATGTCTGAAGCAAGCGGACCAGATAAAGAAGGGTTAAGGCCACTGGCCCAGGGAAGATGAGCGAGGCAGGGCATTATAAAGAGGGCAACCAGAAGGAAACGTTTTTCGTCCGTCTCGTCACAGTTTGCTAAAGGGGCTCAGCCTGTGCCTGGAAGGTCTGTGTGACCTATGCTTGGACGGCCCCGCTGTTCATCAGAAGAAGGGTGTTTATTTAAGAAAAGCAGGTGAAGGCGGTTCCGTTACCGAGTGTTGATCGTCTTTTGTTCACCTGTTGTGCTTGGTGACGTGTCTCTGAAGGCTCGGAGTGTCTTCCTTCTGGAAACACGGCTCGGCTGTAACAGCCTGGTTCTATGAGGGTGGGCGTGGCCAGTAAGAACCCCACTGATACAGGACGAGCTCCGATCAGCACATGGACTTGGTTATCGGGTGAAAGAGGTGAACGATCGGTGTGGGGTTATGGTGCAGTTAGTTTTTGGGCACATTGTAGCAAAACAGCTGTGTTCCTTCCATGTGCTATATTAAAGCTTTGACTCCCACAGCTTGTTTGACTGCAATCTTGTCTTCTCCGTGACATTAAAAGCTGCAGTAATTCATTTCTACCGGCAGCAGATTGCACTGAAAGCCTTCTGATTCTTGAAGGTTTTAGCACTGACAGCCCTCCTCACCGATTGAAGTCAAAGCACTTGGTGCATTTCAGCTTCATGTTATACAATCACACTATCGCGTTACTAATATTAATTTTCTAAAACATTTACAAGGGTAATAAAGAAATCAAATAAATATTTCATTACGGGAAATGCAGATACATAAAGATATCGCCCCCGGGGCCGGACCAGATCGAAAGACAAACATCAGAGGCACAGGCATCGACAGGCTTGAAGGAGCAAACAAAAGTATCCCCTTACATCCTTTAGAGCTGGCTGTAAAATATTTACACAACTCCAACAACAAGTAATGATCTTCAGAAATATTACTCTTGAAATAAACAGGAATAGAAGACAACTGGCACAGTTACAAGTGCCAAATAATAATGAACTTTCCATTTCAGCACTTAATTATAGCCCCATAATCGCATGTAATTAGAAATCCAGTAATCCAGGTATTTAGAATTAGGTGGAATGAGCATGTTCTTTTACATGGTTCATTCTGGTAAAGCTTCACAAAGGGTTTAGTCACTGTAAGACAGGATCCCGATTACTGAGGGCTTGCAGTCATAGTGTTACACTAACACTAGTACAATTCTGCCTGCCTCTCCATATTCTTCAGCGTGTTGCAGCTCAGGAGAGATCTGCCTATGAACGTTGGGAGTTTCCAAATTCAGCTGAAATGTTTGAGATTGCATCACCAATTTGAGCAAAACATCACAGCCCCAGTGAACAGTGTCTGAGCTCTGTGGCGACCTGTTGTTTAAGGGGTCAGGCTGCGTGTCTCGGGTTGTCTGTCTCTTTAAACTGTGATGCAGTGCAAGACCAGCCTTTCCTGCTTGTTTTTGGAAAGTGCTCAGCTCGTAATGGACACACGAGCTTGTGTCCCTCTCAGACTTCGGCTCTGGGACAGCCGTCCTAAGCCCCATGAGACCACACAGCCCACGTACCCCAAAACCTTCACTCACGGCACCCAGATCTGCAGGGGAGCCCCTTTGCACACCACAGGCTGCCCTGACTGTTGGGGCTGCAGAGATCACTTCCCGATTTCTGCTGGGACACCCATCCAGGGCACACGGATACCAGAAAAGACCTCTGACACATACAGAGAGAACAGCAAGGACCCACAGTGCCTTCCGATCGGAGCTCACGCGTCACGCAGGTGGGACTGCAGAATTCCCCTCTCTGCCAGCTCAGCCAGGCCCCAA